AAAAAAAAATAAAATGGATGCGAACCGAGGTATTGCTTAGCAAGAGCGGGGGAGAGCTTTGCGCTTCTCACCGGAAATGAGCGCGTGCGGGGTTATTCGTGCACTTGAGAAAGCCAAGTGTTTGCCTGGCGCTAATTTATTTTGACAGCAGACGTGCCCGTTATCTTGCTTTCCGGAGTTACCAACATCTGAAAAGTAGCCCGCTGACTTCCGTTTGTAACTCTGAGGTGGCCTCTTGCGCTTTAAAGGAGCGGCAGGTTCGGCAGAACCTGTTTCTTTGCAGTGTGCGTAGGCCCCGAGCTCTTGCAAATGACAACAGAACTATTTATTTAAAAATAAGTGAGTATGTGCGGATTATGTGTGTTGACGTAGGTTCTCAAAAACTTTCTTCACAGCTTTTTCATGGCATGAATGTTTTAATTTCTTTGCCATCAGACTTAGGTAGTATTACATCATTTTTTGTTCATTCGGCTCAAGGATTGTGTATTTATTTTAATTTCTTTTATACTTTTACTTCTGCTTTCATTTTTTTGAGATTTTTAAGTATTGTTTAAGAGCAAAATTCTGGCATATCCCAATGGCATACGTTAATGTTTTTACCTTGGGCTACAGGACCACTAAGTCGTTGATACCTTCAGGTACAAAAGATACCTGACCTATCCAGAGAATGGTTTATCACTTCAGACTACATGCAGACTCTTAAAAATGGTTGGGTTATGGGGCTTTTTTGACAGTCAACCTTTGGGCAGCCCTCTTCAACTTACTATGTCGTCTTTCTTTTGATAACGTTGGAGGATGACATGGCTGTATTGCCAGAGACTTGCATTATCATTTTACATTAGGCTATTTATCTCGTACTTCCTAGGTTTGGGTGCTTTTGTTGAAGGTCAGAGCATGAATTTACACCCCAGGTGAGGATGCAATTTGAAAATGTCATGGAAGCCCAAACTAAAATCTTCTTAACTTCCAAAAAAGAATCTCAACCAGGAAGTTCTTGGTAAAAAAGATCACTTCTATTTCTTTGCAACACGATTTCCTTCCTCCAGTAGTCTTAGTTAGATCTAACTTTATTTAGTGATTGCTTGTGAGTTGTGTATCTTTCTCTCGGTTTTGGAAATATTTGCTATGTTTTTCTATCTTCCCTTGCTAAAGCAAAGGGGCTTTTTAGATGTAGCAATTTGAAATTAAATTAGTTTCAGGACTGGTCAAAGAGCATCTTGTTGATGTTGATCTCTCAGTTGAATCACAAAAATTTCATTTCCTTTGTACATGTGGACTAAAAGTAATTGTATATGTTATTTCTTAAATCCATTCAAAATGTTCAGTGTTGTGTCTTCCTCTGCATTGGTCTTAACAGACCAGTCATGACAAATTAAAAGGTGATTAAACAAGGTCAGCAATTTCTTATCTGCTCTTTGGAGTGTTGAGAGCAGCTGTCTCCTGGTTTCTACTAAAAATAATGCAAGACTGAAGTACAGTAAAATTACACAGTCTGCTTTTAAAACACTAATAATTGCTTCATAAATTGCATCTGCCCCTTGATGGTGCTTGATTTCAGATGGGTGGGTATAGTTTGTAGAATGGGTATTAGAAGTGCCACTTAGCTCTTAAAGACAGACTTTTGGAATGGTTGTGATAGTAGAGAACAGAAACTTTTAGTTTCTGTAATACTGTATCTTGAGCTAAATGAATGTCTTATGGACCAGGCTTCCAATTTTGCTGTGTGAATTTTGCTTTGTAATTACTGCTGCATGTAGTCCAATACAGAGAATGTGTAAGTAGCGCTGAGTAAAACATACACACTCCAGATATTAAAAAAAAACAACCACAGCCAAACCCAACAAAAAAACCCACAAACCCCACACAACTATGAAACAGCAATTCTTACGATGAATTGGATGATACCTTGAATAAATTATTGTCCAAGTGGCTTGAAAGTTACGTATTTCTGATTGCTGGAGAGTAAAGAATGTGAAGTATGTGTTAAAATGGAATATGCCTATGATATTTTGCTAAGAGACTATGTACTAATAGACCTAAACAGAGTGTAAAGCAACATGTTAACTTGCAGCTCTAAATGCCTTGTGAGTTTTCCAGAGATCTGAGAGCCAAAGCTTGTACCTTTTCTTGTACAGGTGATAGAAGCCTTTACATGATGGGTTTATAAATTGCTAAGTACTAGCAGGAACCACTTGTAGTGCCAAAGTGTCTGAGAGAGCCGGTAATAATGCTGGTTACTTGTGGAAGAAGCATCACTTGAAAATAGCTGAGTGCTGTTGTGAATCTGTTTCAGAGTAGACTTGAAGTGGAAGCGTACAATTCAGTTTGGTGCTGTGGTTATTAATGTACTCGGTCTGGCTTGTGTAATGGGGTTGGAAATAGAGTATAGTCTATTAAAAAAACCAACAGTGACGTTTTTGTATTGGTGAATATTAAATTGTTACCTTATTTGATTGTGTGCATGGAGGTAAATAGTGTGGGTTTTTTCTCTTTAATCAGATCACCCAGAAGACACAATGAGTGTTAAAGCTTTCAAGCTTGTTTCCGCTGTCGAGCGGGAGATGTTAATGGGAGACAAAAACTACATCAACATCGAATGCATCGAGTGTTGTGGAAAGAATCTCTATATTGGAACCAATGACTGCTTTATCTATCACTTCCTGTTGGATGAAAAGATATCAACAGCTGGAAAAATAACTTTTGCTGCCACCAAGCAACTGCATAAATACCTGGGCTTAAAGAAGCCTGTGAGTGAGCTGAAAGCAGCCTCTGCCCTCACCAGGCTGCTTGTGCTTTGCGACAACACGATAACACTAGTGAACATGATGAACTTGGAACCTGTCCCCACGGGCGCTAGAATCAAAGGAGCTGTGACGTTCACCTTAAATGAAAACCCTGTGAGTGGGGATCCTTTCTGTGTTGAAGTCTGCATTATCTCTGTCAAGCGTCGGACCATTCAAATGTTCATGGTGTTTGAAGACCGAGTCCAGATAGTGAAGGAAGTGTTCACTCCAGAGCAACCCTGCGCTGTGGCTGTAGATGGTTATTACTTATGTCTTGCACTTACTACGCAGTATATCATTTTGAATTATAATACTGGTGTCTCCCAGGATCTCTTTCCTTATTGCAGTGATGAGAAACGACCAATTGTGAAAAGGATAGGCAGACAAGAGTTTCTGTTGGCTGGCCCCGGAGGCCTAGGTGAGATAAAGGACTGTAACTTTTTGCAGTTTTTTAAACTTTTCTCTCTTAATTTTTCTCAGTTTGGGATGCAAAGCATAACTAATTAAGTGTTGTGCATGATAACGCTAATTTTCTTCACAGGTCTATACTGGGATGTTGAGATAAAAAGACGGTAAATTTTTGGTGCTAAGTATTATTATAACTCTCCTGCTTTTTTTAATACACAAAAATGTGAAGAGATGTATTTTAAGCTTATCTGTAGAAAACTTAATTTTTGTATAGACAGCTGATAGTAGTAGTATCTTGCAGGCCAGAATACAAAAATTGGTTGGTACCAAGTGCATTTTGGGAGGGTGACAGCCCCTCTAAAATGACTAGCTGGACTGGGTTTGAGGAGCCCCACGTTGCTTTAAAACTATTAAATTAGTGTATGTGAGTTAACTCTTTTCTCAGTTGCTATTCAGAGGAGTTCTTATGTTTTTCCCTTTTATAGATGGTAACAAATTCATGAATAGGTGTACTGTACTACAGTGCTAGAAAGAAATGGTAGTGGAAGTAAACTGTGTCATAACTCCTGTAGAAGTAAAATCTGTCCTAACTACATGTTGTCAAACGCTACCCAGTTTTTATGCTTCCTTTTGCTCAATTTTTAAAGGTATTTTTCAGGTCCATATTGCAGAAAATTATAGTTTAAGTATTGCAAGACCCAAGTTAGATCATGTGAAATAACATTCCGGTCTGATAGACAGATGATGGTAAGAAGTGCGTCTGCTGTTATCTGTGTAAATTGACAATATGTTATGAGGTCAGTAATCTCGAGTTTTTTGTGGTTTTTTTTCCCTTTGGAAAAGCTACAGTACCCCAGAGCTGACAGACTGTAGGCAGAACGCTTTCATGCTGTTTGCCATATGACTCTCCTCTTAGGAGATGCAGTTTGTGTACCTTCCCTGGCACATTAAGAATAGCATGACACAAACATCACAGATATTTAGGTCCTTAATTCAGGGATCTGCATGAGTTTTGGGTTTTCTCGTGTAAATTTCAAAGAAAAGCAAGAGTGCAGTCAGTTGTTCGTATCGAAGTTTTGTCTTGTGACCAGAATGTGAAATGTACATCAACACACCATTTTTTCTTGAAATAAGTAGAGAATCATTAGAATATCAGTTAACGCAAGGTGTTCCAAGATGAACTTTTTTCAGGTGTAGAGCAACTATTAGTTGTTTGAAATATGGAACTGTGTTTGTGAACGTTAACTTCTTTAGTAATGCTGTGAAAGTTAAAATTTGTGAATTGACTATCTGAAAGTGTTTCTTTTTGACATGTGTCTAAGGAGATCCCATTTGTACTTTAATCTTTAAGATTGTCGTATAAGGTTCTGTTCTTCATGTGGTTCATTTTCTGATTTAAGAAGAGTAGATGTACCTTTGAATGCATGATTTTATTTAGTCAGAAAGCAGGATTTTATGTAGCCCAACTTTTGCTTTTTGTCTGGTGTCCCAGAATAGAGCTATACAGTAAGACCTTCACTCATAAAATCTAACATCCTTATGTAAATAGATTCTTCTGAGATTAAAATATCAGGTATGTGATATCTTAAGCAAATGCATTTCTGCATATCTAAACATGCTATAAACTCCCATTTTTCCCATAATACAGGCAAAATCTACCCTATACTAGCTCAGACACCTTACAAAGCCTGCTTCCTGTATATTCCTTGTCTAATTGAGCTTGTGAGGTTTTCTTTTCATCCGATGTTCTCTATTCCCTCCCCACTGTTGTTTTGATTAATTTTATCCATCTTGCTGTTCTTCCTTGGTAAAATTCTTAATGTCTTTAACACTCATCTTTCTGAAGTTGTGAAGGTGGTTGAACACCTTTGTAATACATAAGCATCGTATATCTTGGCAGTTGAAGCGGGCCTCTGCTGTAAAGTGAATGAACTTGAAAAGGCTTAATGTAAAACTTCAATTCTAATTTTGCTTTGCTTTTTTATGTTTTATTTGTCATGATGTATTTGTTTGGCATTTAGTAGAGCTTCTGTCTTGAATTCAGCCTTTTTTAGCCAGCTGAATATATTCTGCATTGATATATTTGACCTTATAGTATTTGAAATGACATGAGTTTGCTTTTGAGTTAAGACTGAGATTTAGAATGGTAGCAAGCAACTACTTAAAATGGTAAAGTAAAATATCTTTGAGTTTCTTGGGTATGCAGCCTTTTTCCTTACCTGGACTCATTGCATTTAAAACTGATTATTAGAATTGTTCATGATTGATCTGTGGACTTAGCCATTTGGTACTTTGTTGAGTCTACTTGCAGTTAGTGGGGGCCGGTTAGCTCAGTCAGTAGAGCGTAGCGCTAACAACGTTAAGGTTGCAGGTTCGATTCCCGTTCAGTCCCCATGTGTTGCCTGATCTAGTCGAGAGGTGGTGTCCCTGGCGGCAGGGAGGCTGGATTAAAATGATCTCTAAGGTCCCTTCCAGCTTAGGCCATTCTATGATTCTGTGATTCAAAAGGAGGAGAAGCTTCATTTTTGATGCATCATCCTTCTGTCCAGTAATAAGATTGTTCAGAATTCTCTCTGATTAAGTATGAAACTATGCTTACTAAAATTTGGTTCTTCATTTCATTAAGATCTTGTTGCATGTTTCTAATCAGTTTTCCTGCCGTAGAGAGGTTTTAAGTTTTAAAATTTTAGGCAACGGTTCTTGCCGCTTGGCACAGGGCACGGTTCCTTGTGCCAGCTGGAGCAACTGCCCGAAAACATCAGAGACCTCGGCTCAGATTGAGCTCCCAAAGGCAGGTGCAGCGCTTTGGGCCTTGAGCTGAAGGGAGCGCCTGTCGCCCCTTGCTGAGACTGGAGCAGGGGGAGTTTTTGCCCTTGCCTGCAGGAGCTGTGTGCTTGGCTGAGGACTTCTGTTGCCGAGTAGAGGAGATGCAGGAGAAAGTCAGCAGAGTGCATGGCATCAAAACATGATGAAAAGGAAATTGCATCTTCTCCAGAATCCAGACGTGAGCCTGAACCCCAGGCTGTACTGAGGGAAGGGCAGGCTGAGTCTCCGCTTGTTTTGTAGTGGTAAAGGCTGGAAACTTTTTACTTTCTTGTAAAAGGCTGAGCTTTTTCTGCAGATCTCCATCTGTAGAATATGTTCAGTGCTCAACAATAGCAGCTGAGAAGCAGGAAGCTCTGTCCAACCAATCTAAGCCTGTACAATACAATAGCACCAGGAGGAATTGGCGAGTAATAGTAGTGGGAGCTTGTCATACTGGGGATGGAGGTTTTCCCATCAGTCCTGCTGGTGAGGGAGCGCAGCTTGAGAAGTGGGTGGATCATGCAGGTCACCAACTGATTGCACAGCTTGTGGTGACAAGGGATTTGGCTTTTATGGCTGTGAGTTCTGATTTAAGGAAGAGATAGGATCTACCAGGCTAAGTGAGGCAAAAATAGTTTTGCCAACAGGCTGACCAACGCAGCAATGAGGATTTAAACTAGGAGTGGTGGTGGTAGACTGAGGCCCTGCTTCAGGCATATGCACATGAGTCATCTGTGCAAAACAACATGATGGTCAAAACTCTGTCACTTTTTCTGGGAAATCAGCACAGCTGTGTCTTAACAGTTGGGTTGGGGGACTACACATAGCAGCAGGGAGATGTGGTGGTATGCCTTGGGACAAAGGAGGAGGCAGCTGAGGATTTATGGATTAGGATTAGAGGGCAGACTAACATGGGTGATGTGGTGCGTGTCAGCTACAGACTGCCTGATCAGGTAGGAGATGTAGGTAAGACCTTCTTCAGATAACAGGAAGAAACTTTAATTCGCAGGGGCACTTGAACCACTCCAGTACCTGCTAGAGGGGCACCACAGCAAGGCATAAGCAGTCCAGGATTATTTCTGGAGTGCGCTGATGGTGACTGAGGAGCTGGTGAGATGATGTGCTTGGCTGAACCTGGCTAGGGTTGTGGAGGTCAGGGGAGCAGTGTTGCTACAGTGTCCATAAGGTGGTAAAGTTCAGGATCCTGAGAGGAGGGAACAAGGCAAAAAGACCATCAGGCTGGACTTCAGGACAACAGACTTTGGTTTGTTCAGGGACCTGCTTAAAAGACTCCTGGGGGATATGCAGATTTTAAATGCCTTATTTTAGTTCACTGCTTTTTGCTTTCCCAGAATAAACTCTTTTCAGTGGTTTGAACAGTTGTATGGTGATTGAGTAAACTACAGATGGAGTTGGAGAACTAAGACAGCAAGCACGCAGGTACTAAGCAGAATGATTCATAAAAGGTTACTCAGTGCCTTTTCTCATAGCTCATGACAATGCATGAAGCAGGGCAGTCAGCAGTAACCAGCATGTTCCGTTCTTGATTTCACCCACTCACAGTTTTCCTCATGCTGTCAACTTTTATGATAACTGGAAGTTTTCATATTCCTTTGTAAAGAAGTTTTATTTCAGTTTTTACAGATATTTTCACTAAGAAGCTTTTTGTTTTAAAACAGGCATAAAAACTACAGTCTGAGTAACCTGATCAAAGTTGGTCCTGCCTTCAGGTGGGGGGGCTGGACTGAATGTCCTTCAGAAACCTCTTCTGACTTATATTATTCTGTGATTCTATAGATCTTTTGCTGCTGAAAACAGTGTAGCTGTGTTTTGGGTAGCTCTTGTAACCTTTGGATAGTGTATGCATTTTTAATATGGAATTGATTCCTGGCTTCATCTCAGTTTCATCAGCCGCATTCCTGTACTGTAAAAAGGCCTTGATTTCTGATTGTAGTTGTCATGTTCATTGTTATCCTTAGGTGAGAGCTGGATGAAAACAGAAAATGCATCATTCTGCCACAGAAGCTATTGAGGGCAGAGAGACATTGACTTGGAAAAGTACTGTGCATTGCTCTGCACACTTTTTCACTTCCATAAAAGATTTTTTTAAATTACCTAAAAAAAAAGTCTTATCACTTTTTAAATAATAAACAGATTTTTATAATATTTGAGAATGTCCAAGAAATAGAAAATTCTAAGAAGTAATATTTCAAATATAATTAGCCTGAGGTTTACTTGCTGATATAGTATATATTTTAATACAAGTTTTCTCCCATTTTTTGAAATAGAGTTATAGCACAGAGTAACAACTGGAAGACACTAAAATGGATAATGTAGTCTGCCTGGCATAAAATTTCATGTCTCATCTGTAAGAATGTCAAGAACCATAGAGGAAATTGAAATTATGTATTACGAGGAGGGGGGAAAGTATTTTCTGTAAGGTGCTCTGATTGAAAAGCTAATCATTATAGTGAAAAAGCAAATAGCATTACTTGCTAATAGTTGGATATGAAATTTTGATTTTATGTTGCACTCTCAGCTAAGGGAAAAGGCTGATCATTTCAAAGCTGCTGTAAAGGATCCAGAAGCTTAGTCTGTACACCGTAGTTCTGTAAAAATCTGCAACCTTCCGGTTTTATTTTTGTTATTGTTATTTATTATCATTATTCCAAAATACTCCTTCTACCCTTGCCTCATTATCCTCTGTTTGGAAGAGATTTTGTAAATTGAATAACATAATCTTGTGATTTCCTCTGTCCTTTAGAGCTCAAACTTACTCTACCAGCTGTCAAGTGGCTCATTCTTGCTGAAGAAGAATTTTCATGGGCATGTCTTCTTAATGGCACGACAATACTGTTTTTTAAGGAGTATGCATTCATGTTTAGAGCAGAAGCTTAAATAGTGCTTCAGTGTGACTCAACTGGCAAAGAGTTACTGACCTAGGCCTGAAAACCTTGCCTGGAGTTTTTCTTCAGCTATTGTCTCAGGAAGAATTGGGGAATACCAAATAGCTTAAATAGAGCCATTGGCATGTTGTCCAAAAGCAAGTGGAAGAAGGAGAGAGGACAGAATAGACAGGAGAGATAGTGGCAAGGAAAAACACAAATTAACTGAAGATTTAATATGGTTATTTTGAAGACAGCATAGGGAGCATCATTGAGTTACTCAAAATCCCTTTACCCTGTGCTCAGTTTTTGGAAGAATATGCTTTATATGCAGCCTCTGCATTTTTTTCAAATGATTCGAAACACAGATGCTTCACAGGAAGTGACTTGTTCCAAGGAGCTGGGTCTTTGTTCTGTGAAACCTTTGCTGTTAACAAAAGTGAAGAAGTGTAAGTTGTCTGTCAGCTAAAATGCTCTTTAGACATTTGATAATACAAAGAACAAATATGCCTGTATTGCCAGCTAGGTCAGGCAGTGTGCATCTGCAGCTCCTACTAAGGCGGAGTTGTTTGAATGCTGGGTGTCACTAAATATTAGTGTTTTGAAATGAATTCAAACTACATGGAAAGATTCTCAGAAAAAAAACTCTGAAATTTGTAAAACTTGATTAATTTTTGATACTTTCTTTTGGTATCCCTCTCTTCTTGGTTTTTGGTGTTTTTGTAGTGAAGGAGGTAAAAAAAAAAAAAAAAATTACTTGAACTGAACTAACCAACAGGCCCGTAAGGTCCAGGGACATGCGATGCTCTGTCATCGTGCTGCCTGATACCACACCTGTTCTTTTGAAACTTGTGTACCTTGGTATTGGGAAAACAACAGTCTTCAACTAGTGCGAGGCTCAGGCTTTGCTTTTTCCCTTTCTATAGGCATGTTTGCAACTGTAGACGGCATTTCCCAGCGTGCCCCCGTGCACTGGTCGGAGAACGTGATTGGAGCAGCTTTGTGCTTTCCTTATGTGGTTGCTCTTGATGATGAGTTCATTACAGTGCACAGCATGCTGGACCAGCAGCAGAAGCAAACCCTGCCTTTTAAAGAAGGTCACATTCTACAGGATTTTGAAGGTACTGAAAAGGATACTTTTTTCCTTTTTTTTTTTTCATCAGTAAATCTGGAGCAACCTCTGCTGTGGGCACAGCCACTTCAGTTTATTTTTTCAAACAAAATACCTAGCAAGCAAGTTAGCTGTTGAAACTTTGATTGCAAATGCTTTCCTGATTTGGTTTCTGCAGGAAAACTTTAATCATCCAAAATTCCATGCTTCTAATAGAATGTATGCTCATTAAATGTGCTCTAATTGTCAAGTTAATTGTTGGGTAGGAGTCTGTGAACTTAGAGCTTTTTCTTAGAACTTGATTTCTTTCAAAGGAGCACAATTGTGAGCTATAAGTATTTGACCATTGGCTATCCTGACAGAGTTCTAACATCTTAAAAATTGTTCTTTTGTACTCCTTTCTAGCAGGTTTAAAATGGGATATTTCATGAAGAGTTGTCAAAAAATAGAGAAAAAATTTTTGCTCTCTTCTTTTAAGTGTGGAATACATTGTGTTACTACTTTTTTCCAGGAGTGCTACAAACTCTAGCACTGTGGACTGTATGTTACTTACTGCCTTTGATGTACAGCTTGTGATTTTCTAATATAAGCCTGTGGAAGTATCAGGCAGTTAAAAATCCCTTTTCTCTGGCATCTGGGCAGTGGTTTCAGTGGTGGCCTTTAACAGTTTAATTTGTCATGAGATACTGTAGCCAGTTCCGTTTACTCAGAGTGCAACACAGTCTGCTGTAAATAAATATATTTACCATTATCTCTGTATTTCTGAGGTGCAATTTACAGGTAAGCGATACTGTCGAGTTAACATGTTAACAGCAAAGATGATTTTTGGAACTTTAATGCTCTTAAGGTTCTTGCATCTTAAATAGTAAATCTCAAAGCTTACTTCTGAAATATATTTTTTTCTGTAGATAGTGTAAATTGAATATGTCTTGTTTGCTCTGTCCAGGAAAGGTGATTGTTGCCACTAATAAGGGTGTGTATATCTTGGTGCCACTACCTTTGGAAAAACAGATTCAGGATCTTCTAGCTAGCCACAGAGTGGAAGAAGCCCTTGTTCTAGCAAAAGGAGCTCGAAGGAATATTCCAAAAGAGAAATTTCAGGTCTGTCCTTTCTTTAATTTTTCTGAAAATCTGAATTTCACAGTGAGGCACGCATACCAACGGGCAAGAAGAGACCTCGAAAGGGGAGGAATTTACATTGGAAAGCAAGCTCACACCTTTTGTGGTTTCAGCCTGAGGAAATCGAGGTGCTGCTGGGTTGGTTTGCGCTTGTAAGGGCTGTGTCATTGCCAGGGTTGAATGTTGCTGTTCTGCTGGGTGGGTTTTTTGGTGTGTTTGGTTGGGTTTTTTTCAAATATGTAGCATGAAAAAATTGAAAATTAAACAGAATCACAGAATGTCAGGGGTTGGAAGAGACCTCGAAAGATCATCTAGTCCAGCCCCCCTGCCAGAGCAGGATCACCTACAGCAGGTCACACAGGAACATGTCCAGGTGGGTTTTGAATGTCTCCAGAGAAAGAGCCTCCGCAACCTCCCTGGGCAGCCTGTGCCAGTGTTCTGTCACCCTCACAGGGAAAATGTTTTTTCTAGTATTTTTGTGGAACCTCCTATGTTCCAGCTTGCACTCATTGCCTTTTGTCCTATCATTGGATGTCACTGAAAAGAGCCTGGCTCCATCCTCCTGACACTCCCCCTTGACATATTTATAAATATGAATGAGGTCACCCCTCAGCCTCCTCTTCTCCAAGCTAAAGAGACCCAGCTCCTTCAGCCTTTCCTCATAAGGGAGATGTTCCACTCCCTTCAGCATCTTTGTGGCTCTGCGCTGGGCTCTTCTCAAGCAGTTCCCTGTCTCTCTTGAGCTGAGGGGCCCAGAACTGGACACAGTATTCCAGATGTGGCCTCACCAGGGCAGAGTAAAGGGGGAGGAGGACCTCTCTTGACATGCTGGCCACACAGCTCTTAATGCACCCCAGGATGCCATTGGCCTTCTTGGCCACGAGGGCACATTGCTGGCTCATGGGCATCCTGCTGCCCACCAGGACCCCCAGGTCCTTTTCCCCTACGCTTCTCTCCAGTAGGTGAGTCCCCAGCCCATACTGGCACATGGGGTTGTTCTTTCCCAGATGCCAGACTCTACACTTGCCCTTGTTGAATTTCATAAGATTTCTCCCCGCCCAACTCTCTAGCATGTCTAGGTCTCTCT